GTCGACCTCATCCGAGGCCTTGCGCTATTTGGTTTCTCCTCCCGCGCTCAGGCCGAAGGCCTGGGGCAGCGGGTCCTGGACAGCAGACGCCGCGAGGAGACTGATCTCTCGGGCGATGGCGTTTGATGCCCTTCTCCGGATGGGCGGGCTGTCTTTTGGATGCATTTTTATGTGGTGGCACCTTCAGCTGGCGTGGATCTTCTCCTCCTCCTCCTCCTCCTCCTCCTCCTCCTCCTCCTCCTCCTCCTCCTCCTCCTCCTCCCCCTCCTCCCCCTCCTCCTCTTCCTCCTCCTCCTCCTCCGCCTCCGCCTCCGCCTCCGCCTCCGCCTCCGCATCAACATCATCATCATCATCATCATCATCATCAGCATCATCATCATCATCATCATCATCATCATCAACATCATCATCATCATCATCATCATCATCATCATCATCAACATCAACATCATCAGCATCATCATCATCATCATCATCAGCATCAGCATCAGCATCAGCATCATCATCATCATCATCATCGTCATCATCATCAGCATCATCATCATCAACATCATCATCATCATCGTCGGCGTCATAATCGTCATCAGCATCATCATCATCATCATCATCAGCATCATCATCATCATCATCAGCATCATCATCATCATCATCATCATCATCAACCTCTTCTTCTCCGTCGTCCTCCTCCTCCTCCTCCTCCGCCTCCTCCGCCTCCTCCTCTTCCTCATCTTCCTCCTCCTCCTCCTCCGCCGCCGCCGCCGCCTCCGCCTCCGCCTCTTCCTCCTCCTCCTCCTCCTCCTCCTCCTCCTCCACCACCTCCTCCTCCTTTTCCTTTCCTTCCCCTTAAAGATAACCCCTCCCTGTCGCACCCCGAGGCCAGTTTTTTAGGGCGGGTCAGGCGCTTCGCCTGAGACTTCTTCACCACGTATGACTCTGAAGCTGAACAAAAAAAACTCCCAGTGCGACCCTACCTAGGAGTTGGAACCCCTAGGAAAGCAGCATTAGTAGTAACAGTAACGCTAAGCTAAAGCTAAGCTAAAGCTAAGCTAAAGCTAAGCCACAGCTAAGCTAAAGCTAAGCTAAAGCTAAGCTAAAGCTAAGCTAAAGCTGAGCAACGGCTAAGCTAAAGCTAAGCTACAGCTAAGCTAAAGCTAAAGCTAAAGCTAAAGCTCCCAGGGGACTGGGGGGAACCGCGGGGCGGGGACTGGGGGAAACCGCCCGGGGCGCTTTGCACTGCCCGGCCCCCTTGAGCTAAGAGAGCAAGAACCCTTCTAGGCAGAGCCTAGGTAGGGAATGACAACAGCTTCGCAGGTGGAGGGCGGGTCGTTTTCACATTGTGGCGTTCGCCTTAGCGCCGCTCACACTCGTTTCAAGACTTGCACGAACTTCACGGACTGAGGTTCGGTGGCTTTCAAACGGTGGCTCGCGCCTCAGCACCGCGCACGTTCGCTTTAAAGACTTGCAAGAGCTTCGCGGATTGAGGGCGGGTGGTTTTCAAACGGTGGCTCACGCCCTAGCACCGCGCACATTCGTTTTAACAATTTGCTAGAGCTTCACGGATTGAGGGCGGGTGGATTTCAAAATGTGGCTCTCGCTGTAGCGACGCGCACGTTCGTTTTCAATATTAGCAAGAATTTCACGGATTGAGGGCGGCTCTTTTTCAAAATGTGGCTCTCGCCCCAGCGCCGCGCACATTAGTTTTCAGAATTTGCAAGAGTTTCACGGGCTCCCATGATCAACGTATCAGAAACGACGTTTTGGAAGGATTCAGAACTACGCGGGCGCAACAGTTAAGATGATTCGCGGTGTCGAAGTCCCAGACATGGCGCTCTGGCACGATTCCGGATCGTCAAGACGCAGCAGTCAGGTTGATACGTGGCGTTGAAATCCCGAGAACATTGCTTTGGCATGCTTCAGGATCTTCAAACGGTTGTCTTCCAACGAGGCAGCTTCCTCAATGAAAATGAAACGCTGTGGGGGCCTATGAAGAGGGAGTTTGGAAGGAGGCTCAATTCCAACATCGTTGGTGGCTTTTGGTTTTACACTGGTCCTCCTCCTCCTCCTCCTCTTTTTCCTCCCCCTCCTCCTCCTCTTTTTCCTCCTCCTCCTCCTCCGCCTCCTCCGCCCTCCTCCTACTCCTCCTCCTTTTCCTCCTTCTCTCCTCCTCCTCCCTCCTCCTCCTCCTCCTCCTCCTCCTCCTCCTCCTCCTCCTCCTCCTCCTCCTCCTCCTGGTATCCCAAAAAGGGGGGTGGGGCAGGGGGCCGCGCGCAGACGAGGGGGGTCCAGGCAGCGTCCTGAAAGAAGAGGGGGGCACAATGAAATGTGGAAGAATTCACAACCCCAGCCACGATGTCCACACACACGCACACACACAGCCTTAGCCCTCACCCCCTTTATTTTGGGCGCCCAGGACTCCTCTCCCTAGGCCGGAACAGCCAAGGACGAGCGAACGAGAGGCCGTACGCCATTTGGCGCATGGGCTGTGTAAACCATGCGCAGCCAGGGCAAGAAGGTGAAAGTGCAACGAGGCCGTCCCATGCAAACTCCGTTGCAACATGATGTCACGTTCGATCGTATGCCGTGCAATCGACTAAGGCAGACTTGGAAACTAAACATTGTACAAGCACTTCGTCCACTCAGGCCTGGGGCGCCCAGGCGCTGGTCTGACATAGTCCGCGACCATTCCCGACTTCGAGATTTGCGTCCACAAGACGTCGTCATCCCTTCAGCGCCAGCCTGTCCAAACCCTTCTTAGCTGATGTCATAGCAACCGGTCGCCGCAGGGTCGCGCGCCTGGTTTTCCAGCATTGTGTTATTCGATACGCTTGGCATGGCGCAAGTTTGGGATAAGGAGGAGAAAAACGCAATTCTTGACATGTAAATGAGGGTGCTGGATGTTCAAAACTCCCCTGAAACACCACGATTGGAATCCACCCTCGCGGAGCTCAATGAATACATGACCGTGGTCGGAACGAATGGCCCCAAAAAATCCAAATCCATTGATATGCGGACTGATGTGTCCACATGCCCTTGTGCATTTGTGGAGCTCACCCCAAGCTGCCACGAGCCGCTGGCTGAGTTATTGTTTGACGTCCCAATGGTGTAACTGGATAACCCGAAGGTTGAATGTGTCCGGCAGGGTCGATAACATTGCCACCGGGACCTTGCAGTATAACATCGCACCTCGATTGCAAAAACAGGAATATGTTCCAGTGCAGTTACATGCCGACGTCTTTGCCTGCTGCTGCTATATCGCACTGAAGGTATTCTGCATATACTTTTCATGGCGACACCCAGAAGCATGTCGTCCGCGAACAAGAGGATCGCAAGGTCACTGGATACCAATGAGCTCAGCGTGTGGTCGACAAACTTCTTCTTACCATTCTCGGTGATGACCATGACAACCATCGCGAACAAAAACGGAGGTAGTGGGCAACCTTCCGCTTTCGTGGTCTGCGCGAGCCGTCTGCGACGGAAAAAAAGCTCTAAGCGTGTTGTGGGGCACCGCAGACTTCCTCGAGCGCGTCCAACAGAACGTACAGGCTGATGTAATAGAACTGTCGTTTCCAATCCTTCGCGTGGAGTGTGACGTGCTGCACGCTACACCTCTATGTACAGGCGCACTGCGTGCACTGGATCGAACGTGCCCCGTTGTCTCTCGAATCCAAACTGATAGTCTGTCCTCGGCACCTAGACATGCCACACCACAGGCTGATGGGGTGCTAACTGTTACACCGATCCACAAGGCAATTGGTTATACCGCACCATGTCGCCACTCTGATGGCACCCGCTTCTCATACCAACATGTGTTTACCAGTTGTGCGATCAATTATCGTTAATGCTGATATGTTGCCAGCTTTCGGATACTCCGCTGGTATCTTTTCTGGCCAAGATGCTTTCCCCAGCTCGAGTTTAGAGATTGTATCTCCCACCTCTCATTCGGTTAAATCGTACTCAGGAATACGGATGGAAGCATCCAGCGAGTGTGGGTCCAACGCTGTCGCTGGGCGCACTTCATATTGTATACGTTCCAAATACGTACTCTGCCACGGTCTCCATGCCACGGGGTGGAACTCGTCGTCCTTGGCCTCCCTCTGAGCACGCCTCCGTCCCCTCGCCCGCTCGACCACCGAATCGGACAGTCTCAAGGCCGCGCAGTCGGGCAGCTCCCATACGTCTGGTTGCGAGACATGAAGGACGACGACGACGCCTACGCAGTGCTCAACGCCGCCGCCACCGACGCACGCCGCTGCACGCCTCTGGTGCCGATGCCAGTGTCAGAAGCGGACAAGACGCACCACGTGGGACGGCCTCACAGCTGGAAACATCTTGCACACACATACGCCCCACGAGGAGACATCATTCCAAGCGAGCCCAAATGACCAGCAAGGGCCAAGCCCCGCGGTCGGACTCCTCCGCCTCCACCTCCACAGGTATCCACACGTGAACACTGCCCCTGCAGGTGACATGTTCTGCTGAAAGACCGGCGGGTGGTCAGATTTGAATGTACCTGCAGCCAATTCAACCCCAGTGGGGCTGTCCGATACTGCAGCGGCGATCGGACTCGTAGTAGGGCCGCAGGGGTAGGTTTCGCAAGTGCTCGCAGTCCCCAGGCCCAGAGCAAGCCGCCTCGGCCCACTGCACAGGGCCGGGCGCACGAGACGACAACGACCCAGGGCCGCGCGGGTGACATCGTTAAGGAGCAACTCACGGAAGCTCTTAGTCGTCCCCATGGATCCCATGGCGCGTTCGTCATTCATCTACCTCACAAAGCGCCCTTGGGCGCCATTTGGGCGCTGCTGGGCGCTACTGGGCGATGTTCTGGCGGTACTGGGCGCTACGGGATGCTATTCGCCAATAGACATTCAATGCAAGACGAGCGGAATCTTCCGTGGATTACTATCTAAGCATCGGGATGCCCTGGCGAGGAGGCACAGGGGGCCCGCAGGGAGGGGCACGCCTCCCCATGCCTCCACCCCGAACCCGCGCGCGGGCGCCGCCTCGTCG